GCCAAGTGAATATTTTATGTTTAAAAAGAAAATTGCCAAAAATTGTTTATATCATGTTAATTTAGGACAAATCTTAGCTAAGAAACATAGCCAAAAATGCAGCAGAATACACAAACTATTTTCTTTGTTTTATTGGGATTTAACAATAAATTAAAAATAACAAAAAGCCAGAATAAGTATGGTAAGTAAATTTCAAAATTTTGCTAAATTTAACCACGAAAATTGCATGTTTTTTTCTTCTTTGAATTCTTATCTCCTCCTGTCTTTCTCTCTCTCTCTCTCTCTCCTCAGCGGTGTTTTCACACCATCTTATTCCCTCCCTCTCTCTCATCTATATTTATGTTCTCCATATTGAAAAGTTCTTTTGCCTTTAGAGCGAAGCTGTGCACGGCTCCTCACTGTAATTACTGATTAATTACAGGGAATTAAAGCAATTAGAACTGCAGAGATATACAATTAGCGAACGCTCGCTTCATGATGCCACACACTGGCTGTGCAATCACTAGATTGCAATGCAAATACCTCTCTCTTTTAATCTCTAACGGTTCCTTCATTTTCCTACCCTGTTCGCCAGCATCTCGTTACTACGTAGTCCACATGCACACACACGCACACACGCACACACGCACACACACACACACAGGGGGAGCTTTTCCAGTTCATTAGACAGTATTTAATTTGAAAACACCTCTGTGTTGAGGGAGATGTGAGTCCTCCCTGGGGATGAAAGCTGAGGCAGAACTGGGCGATGACAAAGGGATTCCTCCATCTGTCCCATTCAGTCACAGGAAGTGGAGAAGGCAGAGAAACAGGGTTGCCTGGGTTTGTGTGGAGATATTTAGAGAGTTAGCAATGTAAACACAGGATCAATTGTTTGGGTTGTTTGGTTGTTTTTTGTGTAGTTTCTCCCTTTTTTTAGGATGTAAATATTTTTGGAAAAAAGATGGTAGTCAGTCAGGGCATGGAGATATTGTAGAACTTTATTTTTGGAAGTCAAATGTTGAAGTAGAAAATATGAATTTCTTTTCATATGATTCAATGAGTGCGTGCATATATACACACAAAAATTGAAATTGAATTGAAAAAAAAATCTAAGTTCTGCGTTAATTTTTTTTGTTTACAAAAAGTACATGTTTAATCTGTTTCAGAAAAAATTCAGGATTTTTTTCTCTGAAACTATGAAATATTAATAAGATTTATTATTATTATTATTGTTGTAATCTGATCTGAAAACCTGATCTGAAAAATCACTAATCAAAGATTGTCTCACTCACAGATCATCCCAGAGACGACGTCTGACAGCTGAGCTGCTGCTGGTGTTGGTGCTGGTGCTGGAGCTGAGACTGCTGCTGCTACTGCTGCTGCTGCTGCTGGTGCTCACATGAATCTTCACCTGATGATCTGAAAAACTTTGAGGTAAGAGCACCTACGTGAGGCTGCCCACCCCCGCACCCTCACTCATCCAAACTATTGAAATAGCGCTGTTGTTCATTTGTGCTATTAAAGCTTTGGAGTAATTAAAAAATACATTTTCTGACCTGTGACGTCACGCAGTCGGTGACTTGTGTTTGATCCGACTTGTGTTTGCAAGGGGGCGCTCCTGCAATTCTAAACGTATTGATAAAGGCTTACACACCCACTATTTTGTATGTTTACTGTAGCTAAATGTAATGTAATGTATTGAGAGCTAAAGCTCAAAATCCTTTAATAGTTTGTACGTGTCTCCCTGTTTTTAAGATGTAAATATTTTTGGAAAAAAGATGGTAGTCAGTCAGGGCATGGAGATATTGTAGAACTTTATATTTGGAAGTCAAATGTTGAAGTAGAAAATGTGAATTACTTTTCATGTACTTCAATGAGTGTGTGCATACATACAGAATATATATATATATATATATATATATATATTTATATATATATGTATGTATATGGACACAAAAATCCAATTTATATATATATATAAATTGGATTTTTTTCAAAAAGTTTAATTTTGAAAATTGAAAAAACAAATCTGCGTTAATTTTTTTTGTTTACAAAAAGTACATATGTAGTCTGTTTTCAGGACTTTTTTCTCTGAAACTCTGAAACATTAATAAGATTTATTATTATTATTATTGTTGTAATCTTTTCAGTCTAAAGACTGAAAAACCTGATCTGAAAAATCTCTAATCAAAGATTGTCTCACTCACAGATCTTCCCAGAGACGACGTCTGACAGCTGAGCTGGTGCTGGTGTTGGTGCTGCTGCTGCTGCTGCTGCTGCTGCTGGTGCTGCTGCTGGTGCTGGTGCTGGAGCTGAGACTGGTACTGGTGTTGATGCTGCTGGTGCTCACATGAATCTTCACCTGATGATCTGAAAAACTTTGAGGTAAGAGCACCTTCGTGAGGCTGCCCACCCACGCACCCTCACTCATCCAAACTATTGAAATAGCACTGTTGTTCATTTGTGCTAGGAGCTTTGGAGTAATTAAAAAATACATTTTCTGACCTGTGATGTCACACAACCCCCAACCTCCCCCACCTGCTCAATTACATCCCTACAAAGGGTCCAGAACGCGACGGCGCGTCTAGTCTTTAACCAACCCATGTATGTGATCATGTCACTCCTCTGCTCATCGATGTACACTAGCTGCTGGTTGATTCGACTTGTGTTTGCAAGGGGGCGCTCCTGCAATTCTAAACTTATAAACTGATAAAGGCTTACACACCCACTTGGTTGCTGCGCTCATCACAGGAGTGTCGACTTGTCCTGTCCCCTCCTCACACTGGGCGATCTCGGTCCTTCTCAGTCCTGGTTCCCACTGGTGGTGGAACAAACTACCTGCTACTATTTTGTATGTTTACTGTAGCTAAATGTAATGTAATGTATTGAGAGCTAAAGCGCAAAATCCTTTAATAGTTTTTACGTCCACGTGTTGCAGACTACTATACTGCACGTGATATTATGAATCAAAACATTAAACAAATAGACTTAAGACTGTTTTTTATTGTCAATCAACAATATACCAGCAGTGCATACATCGAATGACATGTCGTTACTTGGCGGATCACTGTAAAAAAAAAACAAAGTACACAGTATTAATAAGTGTAAGCTGTAAAAAGGTAAAAACTATAAAAGCACAAACGTTTATTTGAACAGCACAGAGGGGGCAGGGACATAACAGGTCAGTAAATGTATTTCTTAACCCTTGTGCGGTCCTTCGGGTCTAGGAGACCCTAGATGATTTTCATCTTGTCCCAGAATATGAGGACATGTTGGCACAAGTCATGCAGTACAGGAACATGCACCCACACACATACACACACAAAGACATATTGGGTCACCTAGACCCAATATGTCTTTGTCTAGGTCTAGGTGACCTAGGGTCCTTCGGGTCTAGGTGACCCTAGGTGGTCTAGGTGACCCTAGGTCACTTAGACCTAGACAAAGACATATTGGGTCTAGGTGACCCAATATGTCTTTGTGTGTGTATGTGTGTGGGTGCATGTTCCTGTACTGCATGACTTGTGCCAACATGTCCTCATATTCTGGGACAAGATGAAAATCATCTAGGGTCTCCTAGACCCGAAGGACCGCACAAGGGTTAATTAGTCCAAAGGTTTAATAGCACAAACAAACAAGATTTCAATATTTTGGAAGGTGGGGGGAGTTGGATGGGGGTAGGTTCACGTAGGTGGTAAGAGTGTGCACGTTAACGTTATGGCTGTGAGTGGAGCATTTGTCTATGACTGACTGACTGACAGAGAGACAGAGAGACAAACAGAGAGACAGAGAGACTGACTCACAGACAGACAGACAGAGAGTCTGACTGACAGACAGACAGACAGACAGTCAGACAGTCTGACAGACAGACAGAGAGACAGACAGCGAGACAGAGTCTGTCTGACTGACTGACTGACTGACTGACAGACAGACAGAGAGGCTGTCTGACAGACAGACAGACAGACAGAGAGGCTGTCTGACAGACAGACAGACAGACAGTCAGGCAGTCAGTCAGACAGACAGACAGAGAGAGAGACAGACAGAGAGTCTGACTGACTGACTGACTGACTGACTGACTGACTGACAGACAGTCAGTCAGTCAGACAGACAGACAGACAGAGAGAGAGACAGACAGAGAGTCTGACTGACTGACAGACAGACAGAGAGGCTGTCTGACAGACAGACAGACAGACAGTCAGACAGTCTGACAGACAGACAGAGAGACAGGGAGTCTGACTGACAGACAGACAGACAGAGAGGCTGTCTGACAGACAGACAGACAGACAGAGAGTCTGACTGACAGGCAGACAGACAGAGAGACAGAGAGGCTGACTGACAGACTGACAGACAGACAGACAGTCAGGCAGTCAGTCAGACAGACAGACAGACAGAGAGGCTGTCTGACAGACAGACAGACAGACAGTCAGGCAGTCAGTCAGACAGACAGACAGACAGACCGTCAGTCAGTCAGACAGACAGACAGACAGACCGTCAGTCAGTCAGACAGACAGAGAGACAGACAGCGAGACAGAGTCTGTCTGACTGACTGACTGTCTGTCAGTCAGTCAGTCTGTCTCTCTGTCTCTCTGTCTGTCTGCCTGTCAGTCAGACTCTCTGTCTCCCTGTCTGTCTGTCTGTCAGTCAGTCAGACTCTCTGTCTCTCTGTCTGTCTGTCTGACTGACTGTCTGTCTGTCTGTCAGTCTGTCAGTCAGCCTCTCTGTCTCTCTGTCTGTCTGTCTGTGAGTCAGTCTCTCTGTCTCTCTGTCTGTCTCTCTGTCTGTCAGTCAGTCAGTCTGTCTCTCTGTCTGTCTCTCTGTCTGTCTGACTGACTGACTGTCTGTCTGTCTGTCTGTCAGACAGCCTCTCTGTCTGTCTGTCAGTCTGTCAGTCAGCCTCTCTGTCTCTCTGTCTGTCTGTCAGTCAGTCAGCCTCTCTGTCTGTCTCTCTGTCTGTCAGTCAGTCAGTCAGTCAGTCAGACAGACAGAGAGACAGACAGCGAGACAGAGTCTGTCTGACTGACTGACTGACTGACTGACAGACAGACAGACAGAGAGAGAGAGAGAGAGAGAGAAAAGAACTGAGTGGGAAGACACTCGAAAGGAATTCTCCACCTTCCCACTCAGTTCTACAGAATTGTGACTGTGTCTGTAAGGATGTGGTTTCTTGTGACTCACCCGGTGTTTTCTGATGCAAGAAACAGTGATTTGTTCCATCAGCGAAGAACAAACGATATCAAACACTGGAGGGAACGGTGGCAGGAGTGAACCTGTTGGTGGCATAAATGAAACGTGACAGTTACAACTCTGACAGGCTCAGTTTTCAGGAGCCTCGTCGTCCTGTCTCTGGAGTTCCAACAACTACAGTAGACATTCTCACAAAGACAAGCAAAAGTAAATAAGTTGGAGGCAAAAAAAAAAAGTTTTTGTAAACTGACTAGAGAAGAGGGGGAAAAAACAAATAAAAGCCAAAGAGCAGAGATTGATAGGTGACAGGATGCACCTCTCCTCTGTCTGGTGCTCAGAGGGTGATGCCCTGCAGCCATGCCCACAGGTACACTCTCCTCCCCCCGTCCCTCCCCCTCCTCCCTC